GAACAACTAAAAACACAAACAATTATTAATAGAGGGAGTAATAACGAGTTCTTCTATAGATTGACACAGTGCAAGAAATTCTAAAATGTTAAGTTACCTAAAAACATAATTAATTTCACATGAATGTTCAAAATAGTTGAGATTATTATATTAAAAATGAGTCGATCAATAAATTGTTCTAATATATTAAAAATAATAAATCGTGTGTATGAGGATAAAAATCCAACTCCAAATAATTTGATTTAACATATTAAAAAATAAAAATAGTCAAAATTGTTAGCAACTTTTGTTGGAACATTCCCGCAGCCCAACTTGGACTGCCAACCTGTAATTTCTGTTCGTCTTGGTGGGGACGTGATAGACTAGAATGAATTTAAAATGGGAAGTGCTAAACAATAGAAAAATACAGCCCGAATATAGTTTCTTATAAAGAATATATTTATCTGTTAGTTTAAGATAAAAGGAAAAATGCACTAAAGTGTTTTGTCATTTTCTAAAAGGAAAATTCATTTTGAGCAAAAAAGTCATAGTCATAATTTGGCCAGAATAGTAAAAGAACATTGGCCAGAATAGTAAAAGAACATGCTAACGTTTTATTCTGGACAATTTTACTCTTTTAGCTTGAAAATTGAATAGATTCTTGGGATCTCTATATTCTTCCATTATGTTTCCAATATATTGAAAAATAATTAATGATATTGATGATGATTCCATAGTCAATTATGAAAAAAAGACTACAAATTTCAACAGAAAAATATTAAGTGTTCTCGTGCAATCTGTTTTCAAATTATGTTTTATGAAAAACAACAAAAATTTTAACATCAGCAATTAAAAAAATATTTTTTTGAACTATATTATATTCTTGTTGGTTGTATTAGAATAAGAAAAAATTAACATTATGTTCCACATTATATTCTTGTTGGTTGTATTGGACTGAATAACGTGTTTATAATCAAAATAAATGTTCGAGTTATATAATGACATTATCGAGTAAAAATATTTCAGAGGAAATAGATTAAGAGTCATATTGTTGAACCAATAAAAATTCTGTTACATTGAATTTGGATACTGTTGAAGGAAACTGATGGAACGTGTTGTTGAAGGAAGCTGATAGAACGTGTCAAAAGAACAGGTTCGGTGAAGCTGTCTGGCGAGTTAGAGTTTGAGTTACACTAGGACTAGACTACTAAATCCTAATTTGTGTACAAGTCTATACTTGGTATGACTAAAGCTGATGTAGTTGACTAGGATAAGGTATAAATTATATATTTGTGTTGTATTAGGATTCCTAGTGTAGCTAGTATGAGACTCTTCTACGATTCCTAGTGTAGCTAAAATAGGACTCTTCTCCTATATAAGGAGTATGTAACTCAATCATTAAATCATCAATACAATCCTTGATTCTTCACATATACGTGAGAGTTCTACATGGTATCAGAGCAATAAAGCTTTTTCGCTCTTTAACGTATTAGATCAAGAAAAAAAAACAAATTATCAAACCGCAATGGCCCCTTCTACCAACACTCTTTATACCTCTTCACTTCATCATCTTATTTCATCCTGCTCTATTAAACTTAAGCCAGCAAAGTATCTTATATGGAGGACACAAATGAATTAATTGATTCAAGTGATGAGATTAACATATCTCATCACAGAAACATGTAAAGCAACCTGTTCCTCTGGACAGACTCTTGAGAAAACTGCAGCAGGCGAGAAGGATGACACCAACATTATTGATGAATGGGAGGAGAAGAATGTGTTACTAAGGAGTTGGATATCAGGCACCTTGACAGAAGAAAGCATGTACCTGATCATAGGCTGCTCAACTGCCAAGGAGATGTGGGAATGCTTGGAAGAAGCATATCTTCAAGCAACAAAAGATAAGGAGTTCCAGCTCAAGTAACAACTGCAAAGTTTAAAGCTAGGAACCAAATCAATTGATGAATACATTAAGGAATTCAAAGGCATTTGTGATGGTCTTGCAGTCATTCACAAGCCTGTAGATGAGGATAATAAAGTGATTAACTTTGCAAGAGGTCTAGGTATTAAGTACAAGACTTTCAGGACCGTCATGTCAGGCAAAGCACCATATCATACTCTTAATCAATTTGTTAATGCTCTTAGTGATTTTGATATGAGGAAGGATGAAGAAGAAGTGCCTCAACAAAAATCATGACATGTCATTCTCTGCCCAAAGAGGCAGGGGAAGAGGAAACTACTCTCAAAGAATAACTTAGATTCCAGAGAAAGAGGATTTAAGCTTGCCGAACAGGGAACAGGTTCCTATAATAGTAGAAATGGGCCTGGTCCTAAAAACAGTCCTTTAAGTGGAAGTCATGAGAGGAAAAATTCCGATGCAAGTCAAATTTGTGATAGGAATAACCATACTACTCTGAAGTGTTTTTACAGGTGGGATTACTCTTACCAAGCCGCAGATGAGCTATCACAAGCATTGGCTGCCACTAATTTTCAAAACACTGATGACACCTTGTATGTGGACTCAGGAGCAAGTAGTCATATGACACATAACTGAGTTATCCTAACTAATCTTAAACACTACAATGGACAAGATAAAATTATTATTGAGAGTGGATCAAAGTTTGACATAACACATGTTGGGAACATATCTAGATCAGGTCTAAAATTGAAGGAAGTTCTTGTAGTCCCTAAGATTAATAAGAATTTACTCTCAGTTAGTAAGCTTGCAAAGGATAATTGTTGCACTCTTGAATTTGATGAAACTAACTTTGTTGTAAAGGACAAAAAGACAAGGACACTGCTGGCCAAGGGAACTAAAAGGAATGGACTCTATGCCTTGGAAGATAACTATCTTTATGCTTTAACTGCTGCACACGATTGGAACATGTCAGACAACATGTGGCATACTAGATTAGGACATCCTAGTTTGAAGTCTTTAAAGTTTTTCAATAATAATAGTTGCATCAATATTAGTAGTTGGAATAAAATGCCTACTATTTGTTCTAGTTGTCAGTTGAGAAAAAGTTGTAAACTTTCATTTGGCTTGAGAAATAAAATTGAGAAACAACCTTTATTGAAAATCCATTGTGACTTATGGGGGACCTGCTCCTAATGAATCTTCACAACATATGAAATATTATGTCGTTTTTGTTGATGATCACACGAGATATACATGGATTTATTCAATGAAAAAGAAATCTGAATTCTTTGAGGTCTTTGTAAAATTTCAGAAAATGGTGGAAAAATAATTCTCTAAAGAAATTAAGATTTTTCACTGTGATGGAGGTGGTGAATTTATACAAACAGACTTCATCAAACATTTGGAAGATTGTGGCATTGTGAGACATGTTTCATGTCCTAACACACCTGAACAAAACAGAGTTGCAGAGAGAAAACGTAGGCATATTGTGGAGACTGACTTAACTCTACTTCTTCATGCTAACCTACCTTTGTTTCTATGGGTTGAGACTTTCCTCATTGCAGTATTTCTTATAAATAGATTGCCTTTCTCAGTCCTAAAGATGGTGACTCCATTTGTTAAGTTGTATGGGGAACAACCTGATTACAATAGTCTAAAAGTGTTTGGGTGTAGATGTTTTCCATATATCAAGGGTAGCAACAAGTTCAATCCAAAGACTTACCCTTGTGTGTTCATAGGGTATAGCAGTCTACACAAAGGATATAGATTTTATCATCCTCTACAAGGAGAGTTTACATATCCAAACATGTTGTGTTTGATGAAAACACATTACCCTATGTGTCTCCAAATCAATCTCAAACTAACATTGATGTCTCACCTCACCTTGCTTCTTTTGTTGAATCTTACTCTAAATTACAGACACATGATGCTGATTTAGGGGAAGTACAGGCTGCTGGTACACACATTAATGGTGATAATACTGCTCCTACTCCTATAATTGTTGATGATGAAATTTCTGTTGTCCACTCGAACGCAGGATTAGATGTTGACCAACAGGTTGAATGCGATGCTGCAGATTTTGAATCTGCCAGAGACGTTGAGGAATAGGTTGTACTTATAAGGTTCAATCACTGAGCATGATCAAACAACCACTTTAGTTGATGTACCTGTGGATCATGTATCTGTGGACCATCAATCTGAAACTACTTTTGTTGATGTACCAGTTGAGGTACTTCATGCACCACAAGGGCATCATATGATCACTAGATGCAAGGCGAAAGAACATCACTTATCACTTGTTGCTCACAACAGCAAAGATACTCTGAGGGAACCAAACACTATTAAGGAAGCACTTAAGTCACCTCATTGGCTTGCAACAATGCAGGAGGAAATCAATGCTTTACACACTAACAAGACATGGATATTGGTTCCCCAATCTCCTGTTATAAATTTGATTGGCTCAAAAATGGTGTTCAAGATCAAACTAAAAGTTGATGGAACAGTAAATAGATACAAGGCCAGACTTGTGTCCAGGGGATTCTCTCAACTTGAAGGGATAGACTTTGAAGAAATCTTTAGCCCTATGGTTAAAGCAACAACTATTAGAGCAGTTCTATCCATTGCCATTAGCTCAAGGTGGGAAGTTAGACAACTCAATGTCAAAAATGCCTTCCTTCATGGGTTCTTACAAGAAGAGGTGTACATGAGTGAATCTCCTGGATTTATTGATCCCAAGTATCCTCAACATGTGTGTATACTTAAAAAGGCATTGTATGGTCTTAAACAAGCACCAAGAGCCTGATTTGATCGGTTTAGCATACATCTCCTACACCTTGGCTTCATCTGTAGTAAGGCAGATTGTTCATTATTTGCATTGCAAGGTCACAAAGGCATCATATTTCTCTTGTTATATGTGGATGATATCATTATCACAGGTAGAAACCCATCCATGTCTGAATTCGTTCGACAACTTGGGAAAGAATTTGCTATGAAAGATCTTTGCCCTTTACAGTTCTTTCTTTGAATTGAGGTTAAGTATTTTGATGGGGGTATACACTTAAGCCAGAGTAAGTATGCTTCTGAGCTGCTAGAAAAGACTGAAATGACTTTTGCAAACGCTGTAGCCACTCCTTTGTCTCCAAAGCATGGTCTACATGAAGCTGTAGGAAGCCTGGTTGAAGCATCCTTTTATAGAATGATAGTAGGGATCCTTCAGTACTTGACTCTCACAAGACCGGATATTACTAATGCTGTGAATTTAGCAAGCCAATTTATGTAAAATCTGAACAATGGACATTTTCAAGGTGTAAAAAGGATTCTCAGGTACATCAAAGACACTTTGAACTTTGGAGTTAGACTTATTTCACAATCACCATGTAGGTTGTATGGATACTCAAATGTTGATTGGGGAGGTTGTACCACAACTAGGAGATCAACTACATCCTATAGCATCTACCTAGGTGCAAACTGTATTTCTTGGACCTCCAAGAAACAGTCCACAGTTGCTCGCTCAAGTGCTGAAGCTAAGTATAGAGCACTTGTCTCCACTGCCTCAGAAATGACATGAATCATGTATCTACTTCATGATCTTGAGGTGCTTCTTTGATCTGTACCTACATTATATTGTGATAACATGAGTGCTTCGTACATGACAGTTAATCCAGTTATGCATGCTAGAACTAAACACGTTGAAATGGACTATCATTTTGTTCGTGAGAAGGTGGCCAGAGGACAACTTGTTACTCAGTTTGTGAGTTCTAAGGATCAACTAGCAGATACTCATACAAAAGCATTAACCAAACAGGTTTTTACTGAGTTTCGTCGCAAGCTAGGGGTTACAGTCCCTCCACTCACTAGATTGAGGGAAAGTGTTGAAGGAAGCTGATGGAACGTGTCAAAGGAATAGGTTCGGTGAAGCTGTCTGACAAGTTAGAGTTTGAGTTACACTAGGACTAGACTACTAAATTCTAATTTGTGTACAAGTCTATACTTGGTACGTCTAACGCTGATGTAGTTGACTAGGATAAGGTGTAAATAATATGTTTATGTTGTATTAGGATTCCTAATGTAGATATAAGACTCTTCTATGATTCCTAGTGCAGCTAGTATATGACTCTTCTCCTATATAAGGAGTATGTAACTCAATCATTAAATCATCAATACAATCCTTGATTTTTCACATATATGTGAGAATTCTACAGATAGTGCAATCTGAAAAAATTATAATTTTTCAAACTATAATTATATTTTTACTAACATACATATATTATTTCTATTTCTTGTTTATGCTGTATATCTAAATCTTGCAAAGATTCACTAAAATCTTATAGATATTTCACATTATATTCTTGTTCATTATATTATAATAAAAAAAATTTACCTATCTAATATTACAACAAATTATGGCCAAAATATTAGTGTTAACTAAAATTACTAAACATTATTTTTTTTAGTTCAAATATGATACTAAAAAAATTAATTGAAATTTGTAGGTCATTTTAATAAAAAATATAATATGATTCATAATTATTCAATCGACGTAATATAGGGGACAAAATTTGTATGATAATACTATTAATATTTGACTCTCTTTGATTCGAGATGTATAAACTATACAAATGATTTTGATAACTATCAATATTTATCGTGTTTAATATCATTTGAGTTGTCGTTATTTCAATATTTTACAAATTATATTTAAAATTTATTTAAATATATTGTTTAATTTCATTGAAATATAATAATTAAAAAATTACTTAATTGGGGGGTTAGTAACAAATATAAGTAATGATTCACGATTTATCAAATTGACGTAATACAGGAGATAAGACTTGTAGGATCAATACTACTAATGTCGAACTTTCTTTGATTCGACATAACATAGAAGATAAAACTTATATAATTAATAGTATATGTTTGTCTCTCTTTCATTCGACACATATGAACTATAGGCATGATTTTTAATATTTATCAAGTCTAATGTATTTTGAGTGGTTATCTCAATATTTTATAAAGTACATTTAAAAATGAGTAAATTATATAGTTTAATTTTATTCAATATAATAATTGAAAAATTACTTAATTGGAGGTCATTTTAGAAACGAATATAAGCAATGAATCACAAGTTATCAAATATAATTGACGTAATATAGAAGAAAATACTTGTATGATTAATACTATTAATGTCGAACTTTCTTTGATTCAACACATGTGAGCATTATGCATTATTTCTATAATTCATCTTAATGAAATTAAAGTTATTAGGTTATACATTGTTGTATTCTGTTTTTCCTTTTCTTTTTTAAATTTTTGCTAGAAAAATTAGCAATTTAAGAAGGATAATTTGAATTTTCAGTAATGAATAACTTAAATTCATAATATGTACAACTTTATTCATATTTAAGCAAAAATTCTGTTATTTTTATTTCACCTAAAAGTCATAGCACTATGTGTAGGATATGTAATTAAGTCCAAGGAAATGGTCTATGTTGTTTTACGAATTTAAGTAATTTGTCAGTAAAACTATAAAAGTGACAGTTTTAATTTGTTGTCATTTGCATGATTGTAGTCGAAAAGTACGTGCATATAAAGAAATACATAGTTATGTGATAGAAATGGTATTATGTTCTGGACTTCTCATCAAAGTGCAACAAAAAGTCTGCATTTACTCTTGGCAAAAAGAATCGTTCTTTGATTTTGGAATCTAATGACATGTATTGTCCTTTGCTTTTAGCTTCACAAAAGCAAAAACAATACATCAATTGTTCATAAAATCCAAGTAGAGACACTAATTGTTAATGGAATACATATTAGCATAATTGTATTACCAAACTAACTTTTGTTATTGCTATTACATCAACAGTTAATAAAATCAACAACTTCTTTTTAATGCAAGTAGAGAAACAACATCCTTCCACTATTAATTATCAATGTCTATTGAATAGAAAAAATTTCAATCTTTTATGTGCATTTCATGAAAAAATTAAGCAATAACTGCGCTCTTCTTGCATTTAAAAATTCCTACTCTTCAAAGTAAAATTCTACAATCCTTTGAAGTGCAACCCAAATTCTGTGGTCCGCCGCTTTGAACCTAATGTTCTAGGATGATGTAATTCCAGATCGATTGTGAGCTACAAGATTTCGTTTCAAAGATTGACTAATCGACATGTGATCAACCATAAACTGAGTTATGACGGGAAGCAATACATGTTTGTGTTCATTAAAAAACTTTCATGTCAAAAATCATAGCTTTACAATTGTTACTCTTTGTGGACTAGCAATTTCTAGCTCGATTACAACAATAAGTTAAATACTTAACAGTGTCACTGTCTATCTCTTTGAAATTTCTTTTTACAATAGAAAATCCTTTCAATCGTTCATGCTCTTTGAACAACACAAATAAAGAATTTTTCATCTTTAAATTGCATTTCGGAAATCGGACCAACACTCACATCCCCTTGGGTGAAAGTATCATATGGTTCACCGTTAACATTGTACACTTCCAACTCATGTCCTAAAATGTGTTCCTCATCTAAATGTACATCATTGTTCAAACTATATAGTAGGAATCATCATCAATTCATTTATTTTCCGTTCATCAAACTATTGTTTGATGTCATTTTTTAAGATCTGTACAACTCCTCCCTAACTTCAGTTGAATTCATTTTTTTTTTGGAGAAGTGATTGAGTAGAGAAGAAAAATAAAAAGAATTAGCAGTAGGACTCCCTTAGCGGTAATGCTACGTAAGAATAAGAATGCTAGAGTATTAGTTTGAATGAAGAAAAAATAGTGTCCCAATGTATAAGACTTTTCATATTCTAAAAGTCTAAGAATCTGTGTTCTAGTGAAAAAATGTGGTTCGAATTTGATCGACTATACCAACCTTTTAGTTTAAAATAAAGAAAAAATGTAGTAGTGTGTTTTTCATTTCCTAAAATTACAATTCAATTACAACGCATATTTTTAGACTTTAGAATATGAAAAGTCTTGTACATTGAGACACTACTTTTTCTTCCATTCCAACTCATACACTAGCGTTTTTATTCTTACGTAGCATTACTGCAAGGGAAATCTTACTGCTAATTATTTTTCCTTTTCTTTTCTACTCGGTCACTTCTCCAAAAAAAAATATAAACACAACTGAAGTTAGGGATGAGTTGTAGAGATCTTTAGGGATGACATCAGATGATAGTTTGAATTATGATTATACTATAGTTTGAACAACGATGTACACTTAGATGAGGACAACGAAGAAGCTGAGGAACACTTTTGAGGAAATGACTTGAAAGAGTACAACATTAATGTTGAACCATATGTTACTTTCGCCAAAGAGGATGTGAGTGTTGGTACAATCTTCGGAATGATATTTAAAGAAAAAAAAATCTTCGTTTACACTGTACAAAGAGCATGCACGATTGGAAGGATTTTCTATTATGAAAAGACGGTGACACTGGTATGTATCACTACAACAACAAATATGATATATAGCTAAGAAATTATTAGCTACCACATTAAATTCGTCATTAATTGTTTGCTTTTAGTGTAAAAATTTATTTTTTCGTGCTTAAACATATGAAACGCATACTTTTAGTGACGAAACATAAAAATTTGTAGTAAACTTTTGTCCACAAAAGTTTTCCATCAAAAATTAGTTGGCGCCATTTGTTATATAGTGTTACTCACGAATTTAAAGTTATCGATGACACATTATTTCCTCACTAATAATGTATCTAATTCATGACAAATTATTTTTTGTCTTAAAATTTATTAATTTTTGGACACAAAAAAATTCATCTAAAAAAATATATTGTTACAATATCGACAAACTAGAGTTCATAGTTAAATATTATAAGTTTTAGCTATAAGAATTTAGATTTAATTATGACATTTTGTTTCGTCACTAATAATATAAATAATTGGTGACAAAAATTTTATTGTCTCTAATCAATCTGCGATTTAGTGACAACAAAAAAATTGTCACAAAATATGTAAGGTGTTAAATAGTGGCGACTTAAAATTTGTAGTGAATAATTTAACTATTTGCTACGAAAAAATTCTTAGCTAAATACATTTTTTTTTGCTACAATTATTTATAATTACAAGTGATAATTTACAAAAGGAATAATACAAGTGCTTTATAAGAAATAGACAAAGTTCATTTGTTAATAGGCGAGGGAAAATATTTAAACAAACGAATTCGGACGATTTTGTAAAAATAAAAAAGTTCAATACATCGATTTTTTCAATTACGCAATTATAAAATGCATCATTTGAAAATATAATCCAGGTTTTCTACCACTAGATCGCTAATATTTGTTGGTTTCACACTTTTGTTTTTTATTTGATACACTTTCATTGATAAAGACGACAAAAAAAATAATTTCTCAAGTCTCTGTGCTATTTTTTGTATGTGTCTATTGATTTGTGATTGATAAACTGCATAGACTAAGTCGATTTATTTGCTTTTGTCTATAAATATGTATATATATAATAGTAATTCCACATACGTACATGAGCAACTATACAAAGATAACATCGACTTAGAAACTTAGACTTCTCAACGTTGC